ACCGGGGGGGGCGGTGGGGGGAAAAGGGGGGGCAGTCCCGGGGTGGGTGGGGGTTAAGGAGAAAACGATGACGATCATGGTGATGATGGTGAAGGTTCAACGGATCAAAACCCCTTCCATGAAAAAATTCAGTGGAGCAACGACTGCAAAGTCTACTTCATACTCAGTCAACTTGTTCAGCCCATTTGTACCAGACTATGGCACACACAGACGATTGCTCTCCCACGCGGGTCGCGCTCCTACCTGGCCAAGAAGTAGTTCATGCTGTCCAGCGCGAGAACGCTGGAGGCGTCTCGAAGAGCCCGCCCCACGGACGCCTCCTCCTCCTCCCTCCTCCCCACCGTGTGCGCGGACGTGAACCCGCAGGTTATCCATCGCTCGTGGCCCAGAGAAAACACCGGGCTCGCCGCCGGAGGAGCACTCTCGCTCTTGCCGGCAGCAGCCATCGAAGATTCCGACAGGTTCGCGGCGGCGGTCTTAGCTTCTCCGGCAGCATAACTCGCCGCTGCCGCAGCCGGCTGCACTGCACCCTTTCGAGATATTTCGGTGGCCGAACTCCCGTCCGTCGAACCGGCACCACTCCCGCCGACACCTCCTCCTGCTTTCGTGGCATCGTGATGACCAGGGTTGCCGCCGCTACCGCTACCGACGCCTCCCTTCCACGCGGCATCAGACGACCCGAAGGCTGTCGAACCCACCGAAAGCACGTCGTCGAAGCCGCTCTGCCCTCCTCTACTCCGGTGCCGTCCCGACCACCCCCCATCCCCAGCGCCATCGATACCCCCGCCAGAGCTCCGGGGAGAAGACCCGCTCGTTGGGCCCGGAGGCCCTGATTCCCCCGCCCCCGCCAACACCCCCGGCTCTTGCTCGGCCTCCTCCATTAGGTGGACCAGCGCAAGCTCGGAACGCGTCGCTAGCAGGGGGCGGCCCGCATCCGATCGGGGGTCCTCGTCTCCGTTGGCCGCGGCAGGGGTAAGGGTGTCGGCGATGGAGCCGAGTAACGCCTGCGTGCTCTCCAGGTCGGACGCAGAAGCGGTGGGTTGAGGGCTAGTGGTCGTAACGGTTGAAGCTTGGAGCCCCCCGACATCGCCTTCATCCGCGTCTTCGCCGATCGTGAAAGCGGGCGAAGTGTTCCTGCCATCGCCGCCGCCGCCGCCGCCGCCGCCGCGATCGACGCCGTCGTTCGCCCCCGACATTGTAGCCTCGCTCCCTCGGTTCCCCTCGCCGACGCTGCTCGCGGCCGGCGGCGGCTCGGGCGCCGT